CCGGCCCGGGCCTACTAGGAACGCGACGGGCGCCAGCTTCGCCCCGCGCCGCGCTCCCCTCGCCTTTTGTGAGACAGGGGAGACTCAGCTAACTCGGTTCCAGCTCCTCGTCACTGCGTCCGTCGGCGGCGTCAGCATTTCTGCTGGCCGGCGTGCTTGACGGCAGCCTTTTCGCGTTCCTTAACTACAGATGGGTGGATTGGCGCCCAGAGAGGTTGAGTGACTCGCCGGGCCGCGCACAGCCCCGATGCCGCCTCGCTGCTCTTCCTAACTGATGCTTCGCTTGCAGCCCGGTCCGTTTCCAGGTGTATTAAAGTCCCCTACAGGGTCGCTGTGGGTCGGAACCGACTCCACAGCACATCACCACCACCCCCCACGGCCACAGGGTGGTCGTCTCCGCACAGTGCATCTCAGCCCCTGATGTCTGATGAGCGCGACAGATGGTTAGATTAGGGAGCCCTGGATCGGCTGTGGTTTGGGGTTTTCATGGGAAGCCTGTTGAACTGGCCCCTTTCCAGCATATACTCCCCAGTTTTACCCCTCCGGGCCGTCCTGCGCGTCTGTTGGACTCTGGTTGGCCAACACTGTCGATTACAGCGTTGTAGTCTGTGTACCAAGGAGCTCTGGTCGCGCAGTGGTTACGAGCTGGGCTACTGACCTCAAGGTCACCAGTTCCCAACTATTAGCCAATCTTCGGGAGAAAGATGAGGCTTTCTGCTCCCGTAAAGATTTGCAGCCTCGGAAGCCCTTGTACGGGCGCCACAGCGCACCGCCACAGTCGGTGAATAAAGCATCTGAGCTGGCAGGTAGGTGGGCTGCGAGCTAAGGGGGCCACAGGTTCCAGTCCTGCACAACTGGCGGCTCCCACAAGCCCCACCTTTCAGTTCCCTGGTGAGCCTTGTTGTTGTTGTTAGGTGCTGACGACTTGGTTCTGACTCATAGTGACTGTATGCACAACAAAACACTGCCCCGTCCTTTGGGGCTCCTGAATTTCTGGTGTTTTTTTCTTTTTCTTTTTTTTCCTCTAAGTTCCCAAAGTCTGGAGGCCAAGCAGGAGAATGGCAGTAGTCCAGTTGTCTGTCCCAGAGCGATATTGGCACAGCCAGCTCATGAAGGGCTGTTCTCCTACAGCACTGGCTTGCTGGCCGCTAGGGTAGAGATGGGGGTGGTGGGCATGGTGAGTCAGGCGGGGCCCCATTTCCCCTGAAACAACCCGGGTGTTGGTTGTCTTGAATTCTGGCCTCTTTGGTGCTTGCTCTGGTAGGTGCCCTGAGAGGCAGGCCGCCTGGCTTCCTTCATCTGCTCCAGCTCCAAGGCCCTTGGAGCTGCCGACAGCAGACAGCACCCCTTTCTGGTGATCCTGGAAGGATGTGATACCACCACGTAACCGCTGCTGGGCAGAGGGGTCTCGCGGGTGGAGGTGTGCACAGGGCCTCACTGCCTCATCTCTCCTGGCAGCCCTGAGTCAGGCCTGCTGCTGCCCCTCTGCAGGTGAAGTCCTGGCCCCAGGTCACAGTGCATCGAGAAGCCAGGAACCACCTGCAACACATCCTCAGCTGAGGATGTGTACCCGCAGACTGACCCTAGGACCTTAGCTTGGTGGCCCCTCTGTTCCCTGTAGGTTCGTGAAGGTGGCTATTTCCCTGGGTGTGGCTCTGCAGGACTGAGGGTGTGCATGCCCTTTGCTCTCAGTAGACCAGGTGATGTTGGGGGCCCGCTGGTGGGAGTGGTCACAGCCAGTAAGTTCTCCCACCCGAAAGCTGTGTCCATATCCCGGCCTTGTCTCACTGCGCTCCACAGAAAACTGTCACCAGAGGAGCTGGACTTCCGTGGAGGTGCCTTCTAGTTGCTTTCTGTGGGCCCAACGGACCTGTCCCAAGGCCCCAAGCTGTGCAGTGGGGCCACCTGGGGCCCTGTGCTGGGAGTGTATCTGCGCCCTTTGACCTGCTGACTCCTCACGTGGGATGAGGAAGTCCATGTGGGGCAATGACATGCGTCCTGTGGTCCTCGGGATTTAGCTGGTCACCCTGCAGGGTGGACCTGCTGACTGTGGCCCTCTGCTTTCTGTGGTTTCCACCCTGGAGCTCCAACTGCTGAGCAGAAGGGAGCCCGGGGGCTCTACTGTGTCGGAGCTAATGTGAAGGGCAGCTGGTCGTGTCCTGCTGCCGCTGTCTGCGTCCTTCCAGAGGCCTGAGTTGGCTGTGCTGGGATCAGAGGGCACCAGGCGAGGGAGCGGGGTGACAGCCGCGGGCCTTCTCCCTCCCAGCAGCCAGGGGCTCAGGGCCTGGTCCTGACCAGCCTTCCTGGTTCTGGCTGTGCTGCCCTCAGTGGACCTCGGCTGGGGAGGAGGCACATGGTACAGGGGTGAGCCGCTGGGTCTCTCGGAGTCTCTGCTGAGCCCAGTGAGCCCTGTCCTGTTTGATGACAAAGGAGCTGTGTGTGCAGACTGGCCCTGATTTGGGGAGCAGAGTTTGAGGAGCTGGGCTGGAAGCGTGGTGGTGAGTGGCAGGAACACTGGTGGTATTCCCACAGTGACCTTGCACGACAGACCAGCAGTGAACCTGGCACCTCGGAGACTTTGTCCCAGCGTGGCCTTGGCCTTGTCTCACTTCCTGGTGGCGGCCAGGTGGCTGAAAGCAGCGCATTGATTGTGAGGGAGGACTCCACTTGACCTCCAGGCCCCTCAGTGACCCCTTGTTGAGAGTTCGCTCGTGATGGGTTGTCTTTTATGAACGTGTAAATTGTGTTTGTAGTCCATCTTGAGGCATCTCAGCTGCGTGCTCAGGCGTGGAAATGTCTCCTGTCCTGGGCTACATCAGGTTCATATCCACTTGGGGTCTGGCCAGGTTACTTCCTGCTGTGAACAGGACACCTGGTGCTTGTCCCATCTCGTTGGTGCTGGTCATTACTCTACAGAAGTGGACAGAATGTCATCAGGGACCTGACTTAGGGACCTTATAGCCTGGGCTCTGACTTCTTCCAGATCTGAGCTCCGATGCCCAGCCATGGACGACGACAGTCTGGACGAGCTCACAGAGTGGAGCCCAGGGCCAGGTGGACGCCTGCGGCCCAGCCCTGCTGTCCTGGCCAGCAATGCTGGTAAGCTAGCCTTGATCCTCCCAGCATGAGGACAGGGCCACCATGTGAAGTTGCAATATGGTAGCATCACCTCCTTTTCTCCACGGGGTTTCTATACATCTAGGGGTCCCAAGTTGCCAGCTTTTAAGAAGTTTGCTCTTTGGTTTGGACTTGTAGCAGTAGTGCATCCTTTTATTGTGAGCACTGCAGACAGGCAGAGCCTCATTTCCCGTCTCGACTCCCTCCCTGCTTGGTGTAGCCTTCCTCAGAATGTGAGGGCAGCTCAGGGGCCTGTGGCAGCTGTCCTCCTGGGAACCGGGCTGCGCATTTGCAGACAGCCCGTGGCCCCTGCTGATGCTCTTCTCAATCCTGTCCATCTAGAAGACAGCAGTGATGGGAACAGCGGGGACTCTGAGGATGGCACAGGCAGTGAGCAGAGGGACAACTCGGAAGCGGACGAGGACCTGGAAGATGGATCTGGTAAGGGAGCGTGGCACGTGTCACAGTGGTTAAGGTCCTTGCAGAGTCAGCTCTTGGAGCGCTGATTCGTGGCCTGACTCCGTGTGCCTGTGTTGTCTGCCTTCCCTTGCACCCCTCCTCAGTCTCAGGGTGGCTCTGGGGGCGGGCCCGCTGCTCACTCCTCGCCTTCCTCTTTCTAGAGTTCTGTAATTCATCCACTGTGCTGGGGCCCCATGTTCAGAGTGGCCACACCCCTAGTCTGTCCACAGTTCTGCCTTTCTGGAGAGTGACCCTCCATTTCCTTGGGCAGGGAGGGGCTCTAAGGGTGTCACAGCCCTATCTCGGCTGGTCCCATGCCATAGTGCTGAGTCTTCTGGAAATCTACAGCAGACGGAACCAGGTCACCTGGCTTCCACCTGCTCCTGCTGTCCTGGCCCACCCATCGGCCACCCTGAGTCTGTGGAGGCCTCTTACTGAGCCAGTTACTGTGCACCTTGTAACCCAGTGCCATTGAGTCGCTGCCGACCCACAGTGACCTTGCATAGGGTTTCTGAGGCTTCAGTCTTTGCGGGAGTAGAAAGCCTCATCTTTTTCCTGCCTAGTGACTCCAGACAGCACACTTCTTATCTCCCGGTGTCCATGGGGCCGGCATGGTGTCCTTCTGTCTGGCCACACAGTGTCCGTGTTCGTTCTTCCCAGGTTCTGAGGAAGAGGACGTGGAGGCCTTGCTGGCTGACACTGAGAAGCGGAAACTAAACCGAATGTCCAGCTCTGATGACGAAGCCGAGAACTGCCCCATTTGTCTCAATGCATTTCGAGACCAGGCTGTGGGGACCCCGGAGACCTGTGCCCACTACTTCTGCCTGGACTGCATCATGGAGTGGTCGAAGGTGAGTGGCCTTACCACCTCTGTGCACAGCTGTCCTGGCCCTGCTGGCGTTGCTTCTCTACTTGGAGGTTGAGGCTGGCGCCCCAGGGACCTCACCAGCTTCCCCTGTGTTCACTTGCTGTTCCCTGGGCCCTGGCTGGGGGATGTCCTCCGTGGGTGCTATGTGGCAGAGAGTCCGCCCTGGGTGTTGGCTTGTTGTGTACTGGGTACGGAGGTGTGGTCAGGCTCACTTAGGCCCATAGGACATGGGCTACAGAGACCCCACAGAAGCTGGAGCTGTCGGAGGCAGGCAGTTCTGTCTGACCAGGTGGCCCCCTGGGGTGCGGGTGACAGGAGAGCTACTTCCTGCCTTTGTGTATGACTATCTCAAGGCACGGCGAGCACGTGGCTGGGATGGCTGGCGGTGCAGGACTGGCCAGAAACCTGTGTGGCTCCCGTTGAGCCGTGAACCCTCAGGAGCAGTCTTCGTATCCTAGGGTGTGGGGAGTGCCCACGCGTCGCAGCACGGCCTCCTCGAGCCTCCTCCTGACCACACTCCTGTCCTCTGGAGTTGTGGCAGCTGTCTCAGGACCACAGTCACTGACACTGGGCCTCTGGGGCTGGAACTAAGGTGGCGGTGCGTCTCCCCCCAGTGTTCGGAGGATCCTTCTGCTAACAGATTAGAGCCCTCGACTTTACGTCACCACCTCAGTGCCATTCTCTTCCTCAGTAGCACTGACACCCCTCATTTCCCACGTAGCTCCAAAATGGCCTGCACGTGACTCATGTCTGTCGACTGACAGCGCATGGTGTCATCGGAAGCACTTCATCTCCCACGTTTCCTGCGTAGTGGGGCTAGAGCTGGAGCCCAGAGATTAGATTCAGATTCGATGCTGCTGCTTGTTTTAGGCGAGTGAAGCCTTGGTTTTAAAGCGAGAACAGGGTACTTCCTGTGTGTTCTCAAGTCTGTGTTGAATTGGGTTTCTGCCATTCAGAATCAGTGTATGGGGTAATAAAGGACAACATTTGCTGATAATACATTTATCCAAATGAACCAAATGAACTGTTGGTATACGTGCAAAAGGACTGCTGGATGCAGGGATAATGAGGGTGAGCCGTTGGAATGTGCTCTGAAGAGGCATCTGAGGGGTCTTTCTAAACCGTGGAGACTGAGTGAAGACCGGCGATGCCACAGGGGCTGTGTCCTTACACAAGAACTGACCTCAGATCGTGATCCAGCCCCAGGGGCACCAACTGGGACCTCCATTCATCAGTCAGTACTGATAACTCTGCTGTTGGACAGGCCCGTGGAATGTGCCCCAGCGCCTGATGTCTGCCAGATGTGCAGAGCAGTGACTGACATCCAGAGAAGACAAGGAAAGGCTCGAGGGTGCAGGTGTGAGCAGGGAACAGGCAGCCTAACTCGAGAGGAGAGTTAGGAAGTGAGGGGTTGCAGGCTTTCTTCAAGGTGCTGCTCAGCATGAGGAGAGAAGGTGGAATGAAGGTGCTCAGTGTCTGCCACCAGCGAGGCCCTGGGGACCCTCGTGGTAGTCCCCACCCTACTGCAGTGGCCCTGGGTAGGCCGCATGGCCACAGAGCTGCACACTTCACTCCAGGAAAACTGTCTGAATGAGCTACAGCCACTTGGAACTGCCCACACCAGCCAGTGGCCACGTGACTGACCGCCTTGCCTGGGATGGACGTGCCGTGCTAGGGTTCTGTTTTGAGCTGTACCCGGAGCTAGACAGCCAGTACTACAGGAGACATGAGCAGGTTGTGCCAGGCCAGGAACGTGGACAATGGAGACATTCGTGGTGCTGGCTATACAAGGCACGCATTTCTCAGAACTCGTTGAAAGACATACTTAAGTGATTTCAAGTTAAAAACTTACTTATGTCAAAACTTTTTAATATAGAAGTAAAGAGAAACTATTTGCAATACTGCCAAAATCGTGAAGCACTAACCATTCCTCCCACAGATCTCTCTGCGCCTCACTTGGGGGCTATAATCTGGTGCAGTGGCCACACAGGACTCGAACACGGCACTCACAGTTACGGGGTGTCTTCAGGAGGTTAGCTGCTTAGGATTGGCGTTCTGGTCAGCTGCCGATAAAGGGCCAGAAGACAAAGCACTCCACCGGAACCCTCAGCCTGAAGGCACTCGGCTCTGGCTCCCTCACTTAGGTGCCTAGAGGCATCGCACTCCATCCGCAAGCTGTCTGCCCACAGTCACTCCCACTTTACTTGATCCGTGGGCCGGTGACTGCACTCCTGTCTTGGGCTCTGGTCCCTGCATCAAGGAGGCTCAATGTGCAGGGATCCCAAGGACACGCCCCCTTCGGTCGCCTCTTTGATGGAGATGAGTCTCCTCCTGAGATGGCTCGGTTCCTACCCAAGTTAGAGTTCCAGGTTTTCACAATGACCATGAACTCTGTTCACATCCACAGTTGAATTGTTACCCTGTCAGTATCTTCTCTCGTCTACTTACCAGACCCATCAGGAAGAGGCGTTGGGTGAGACAGACAAAGACAGAGCTAGAAAAGACACACTAAAGAATCCAGCACACCACAAATACGTGGACTAGGCCCTCATGTAACCTCATGGGAAGGTTGGCAGAGGGCTTGAACAGAGGCTTGAGGAGGAGGCCTTGAGCCAGGTGGGGTGGGGGCTGAGATGCCAGCACAGCTAAGCTTCCCCCTTGTAGTTTCCTCCCCATTTGTCACAGACGTACTGTACGTACAAGGACGTGTATGATCCTTCACTTATCTCTCCCTAGGACGGCAGCTCCAAGAAGGCAAGTTAGGTCTGCTTGATTCATTGCTGCCAGCGTCACTGATAGCTCTGCTGGGGACCTGGCGCATGCTAGGCACTCAGTAGCTTGTTGAGTTTCTGTGTAAAAGGGACTTGGACCTTTACATGAGTTTAGAATTTGAACGTGATAGTGAGGACGCACCTATGGAACAACACGCAACTCCTGTTTCTTTCAGAATGCCAACTCCTGCCCGGTGGACCGCGCTGTGTTTAAGTGCATTTGTGTCCGAGCCCAGTTTGGTGGGAAAATCGTGAGAAAGGTAAGTGCAGATGTTTTTCTGGGGTTTGTCCTATCAGTGCTGGTCGGACAGGAAACACATTGATTGCGTTTCAGGAAGTGAGTTGAGTGTTGATTTAATACATTTTAGAAGTCAGTTAAAATACACCAGCCAGGAACTGTTTGCTTTTTGCTGTTCCTGTGGGTGTCCTGAGCTGACTGAATGGGAGGCTCCAAGTGGGAGACCAGCGGAGTCTGACTGGGTGGGGGGCCTCCTGACCACACTCCCGTCCGTCCCTTTGGTGATTCACAGCTTGCCCCTGGCTCGCTTTGAGCTATGGCAGCTGTCGCTGGCATTGACCCACCAGGCTGGGAGGAAGGGGGTGGTGTGTGTCCCCTCAGCATTAGGAAGGCCTTTCTGGGATGCTTGCTCTCCTCTGACCACTTGGAAAAGCCACAAGAGGTTTTTGTAGCTTGACTCGTGCATTTCTGTGTGCAGAGTCCAAGGGCCTGTGAGCATGGGCGCTGGGCTCTGTGTCCATCTCGGCCTCCGTGCCCTTCTCTCCGCAGATCCCTGTGGACGACTCCCGAGCCCCTGAGGCCGGGGAGCAGGAAGATCCCACGTTCTGTGAGGTGTGTGGCCGCAGTGACCGGGAGGACCGGCTCCTCCTCTGTGACGGCTGTGATGCTGGGTAAGCAGGTCTCTGTCTGCTTCTGTGAAGGGGGAAGCGCCGTTCTGGAGAGGATTTTGAAATTCTCCATTCGGGGAGCCCCACCTTTAGGTGTACGCACGGCCTGGTTGCAACCATTGGGGGTTGGGTGGCTGCTGCTGATTCTGGTGGACCCTCCGTCCTTCTCCTAGAAGGACAGAGAGTACGAGGAGGCTGTCGGGGCTAGAGCCTGTGGCCTCCCCCTCCCTCCTTCCTCGGCCTCCTCCATCATCGCCACCCCGCAGCCCGCATAGCCTCCTGGGCGACTTTACGAGGTGTATATGTTTGGAAACATGGAATGTTTCGATGACTTTCCTCTTGGGGTAAAACCCCAAACCAGGCCCACTGCCAATAAGTTGGTTCTGACTCCCAGCAACCCAGTGTAGGGTTTCCGAGGCACAGTCTTTACTGCTCCTCTTTTCCCCATGGAGCTGCTGCTGGGTTTGAACCACTGAAATGGCGGTGAGCAGCCCGGTGCCTAAGCCGTTGCCACCATGGCTCCTGTCCCTTGAGGTGCAGCACCCAAGAAGCTGTTGAGAGACATCAGTGAGGCTGTTAGACCAGAACTTTTTCCTGGGTGGAAAATGGTCCTTTTAGGGAGGTGGATGTGCACGACTGTCTCGGCAGGAGACCTGAGCCGTGGGTGTTGGGAGGGACCTAAGGGACAGTCCTGGGCAGCTGTGTCACTGGGAGGATCCAGTTGGTACCTTCCTCCCCATCTCCAGTTGGTTGCTGCCACGGTCCCTTGCCTACCACTGACCAAGTTCCATTACTGCTCTCATTGTCGTCTGCAGTTCAGGCCCGCTGCCTATGCAACCCCAGGGCCAAAGTCCCATCTTCATGGTCCAGTTAGTCTGGACAGCTTAGTGGCATCTGTCTTCCCGAGATACCGTCGTCACTTGTCCACCTTCCCTGAGGCCAGTGCAAGTGTGTCCATTCAGATGTCCTTCTGAGAGCACCCTTCCTGTTTCCCACTCTCCAAGTTCCACATGCAGGCTGAAGTTGCTGTCTGAGTGAATGCCTAGGTCCTGGGGTTGGCTGCAGGTCGCTGCCTCAGTGCTGGATCCTGTGTGGAGTCTGGTGGACCGAAGGCTCCCCCCGCCCAGGTAGTCCATGTGGTCTGTGCCTTTTCTCCTCTGGAGAAGTTAGGAGGCCATGAAGCAGTCTTGAGGTGGGTCTTGGGTGGGACCTCAGCAGCAGCTGCGACACTTGTGAAACTCCGTGACGAAGGGGTCTTGAATCAACCACTTGGAGTTCTTTGAGTGAGAACTTTTCCTCCACTTTTCTTGTTGAGTGTAAGGAAAGGGATTTTTAGGATGGGTGTACCCTGAGTACTTGAGGACTCCCCCTCAGTACATACTCCTGCCTGTCTCCATCTCCTGCCTGTCTCCAGCACACAGCTCTTTCCTTGTAGGTTAGGTGGGGACCTGCGAGCCTGACTTCCCTCTTCTCAGGCCTTGTGTCCTCGTGTCCTGGGTTAGCTGCATTGTTGTGAAGTCAGCTCGGACTCGTAGTGACCCCGTGTCCAACAGGATGAGACACTGTCCAGTGCAGTGCTCACAGTCATTGTCATGTGTACGCTGCTGGTTGTAACCACTGTGTCCGTTCATCTCAGCAAGCGTCTCCCCATTTTCTCTGACCCTCTGCTTTTCTAAGCAAGATGGGGCTGTCCTTCTGTGAGGACGGTCCCTCCTGAACACACAGTCAAAGTGAAGTCAGGCAAAGTCCCACCATCCCCAGGTTTGGCTGTGCTCCCAAGACAAGTTTGTTCTTTGTTCTGTCCGCCCACGGTACTTTGAGTAGTCTTCTACAACACCGTATTCAAATGCACGGTCTTTTTTCATTTTCTTTCTTCATTGTCCAGCTTTCATATGCATGTTGTTGGGTGCCTTCAGTTGGTTCTGATTTCATGGAGATCCTGTGCTCAGTAGAATGAAACACTTCTTACCTCCTCCTGTGCCATCCTCACAGGTGGTGTTACGCTTGAACCCATTGCTACTGCCAGTGTGCCAGTTCATCTTGTTGGGGGTCTTCCTCTTGTTCGCTGATCCTCTACTTTCCCGAGCATGAAGTCCCTCTCCAGGAACTGATCCCTCCTGATAGTATGTCCAAAGTATAAGAGACAAAGTTTCGCCATCCTGGCTTCTAAGGAGCATTCTGGCTGTACTTCTTCAATGCAGTTTGTTTGTTCTTCTGGCAGTCCATGGTACTTATAATATTATACTGTAACACCATCACTCAAATACATCAATTCTTGTATGGTCTTCCTTGATCATTGTCCAACTTTCACATGCATATAAGGCTATTGAAAAGACCACGGGTGAGGCACACCGTGCTCTCAAGTCGTGTGCAGCAGATTTGTCTAATGTGATACGTCCTTTGATTTCTTGACTGCTGCTTCCATGACTGTGGATAGTGGATCCAAGAAGAATGAAGTCCTTGACCGCTTCAGTCTTCTCCATTTGTCAGAAGGTTACTTGTACATCCATTGGTGAATTGCAACCCATAATGAAGGCTGTGGTCTTTAACTGTCATAATAAGTGTTTTAAGTCCTCTTCACTTTCAGCAAGCAAGGTTGTATCATCGGCTTATTGCAGGTTGTTAATGAGCCTGCCTCTAATCCTGATGCCACATTTTTCTTCATATAATCCAGTTTCTCAGATTAGTTGCTTAGCATGTAGATGAAATAAATATTCTGAAAGAATATAACACTGCAACAAAATTTTACTTGCATATGGTATTAATGATATTATCTGATGATTTTCGCATTCCTTTGGGGCACCTCTCTGTGCAGTGGACACAAATTTGGATTTTTTCCAGTCAGTTGGTCAAGTAGCTGTCTTCTTTGTCCATCTCTCTCGGCCTAGATGAGTGAGTGCCTCCAGTGCTACATCAGTTTGTTGAAAATTTCAATTTGTGTTCCTTCACTTCCCAGACCCTTGTTCTTTGCCAATGCCTTCAGTGCACCTTGGACTTTCTCCTTCAGTATCATTGGCTCTTGATCAGATGCTTCCTCTTGAAATGGCTGAGCATTGACCATTCCTTTGTGGTACAGGGACTGTGTATTCCCTCCATCTTCTTTTCATGCTTTATGCATCATTCAGTGTTTCCCCCATAGAATCCCTCAGTATTGAAGTCTAGACTTGATTTTTTCTTCAGTTCTTTCAGCTTGAGAAATGCTGAGCGTGTTCTTCCCTTTCAGTGTTCTAACTCCAGGTCTTTATACGTGTCATAATAGTTGACTTTGTTGTCTTGAATTGCTCTTTGAAATTTCCTGTTCAGCTGTTTTATTTCCTCATGTCTTGCATTTGCTTTAGTATCTCTACACTGAAAAGCCAGTTTCCGAGTCTTCTGATACCCATTTCATCTTTTCCTTCTTTCTTATCTTTCTAATGACCTTTTGCTTGCTTTCTGTATGGTGTTCTTGATGTCACAGCCCAATTCTTCTGGTCTTCCGTCATTAGGCACAAAATGAGAAATAGCTGCAAACATCCATTAATATTTGTTGTTGTTGTTAAGTATTGTTGAGTCAGCTCTGACCCATAGTGACCCTGTACAGGGTTTCCAAGAAGCAGCTGGTGAGCTTGAACTGCCGACCTTGCGGTCCAAACCAACTTTACAGTCCAGTGCATTAACCCACAGCGCCACACCAGGACTCCATTAATAGGAACATAGAATGTACAACGTATTAATCTAGGAAAACTGAAAGTTGTCAAAAATGAAATGGAGCGCATGGGGCTGGATAGCCTACGTGTTACTAAACTGAAATGAACAGGTATCGGCCATTTTAATCTGACATTTACATGGTTTACTATGCGGGGAATGACAAATTGAAGAGGAATAGTGTCACATTTATCATCAAAAAGAACATTTCAAGATCTGTCTTGAAGTATATTGGTGACTGATAGGACATACACCTACAAGGAAGACCAGTTAATACCACTATTATTCAAATTTATATACCAATCACTAAAGCCTGTGATGATGAAACGAAAGAATTCTACCAACTTTTCAGTCTGAAATTGATCAAGTGTGCAATCAAGATGTATTGATCATTGCTGGTAATTGAATGAAATGCAGAGGTTGGAAGGAGGAAGGATCAGTAGTTGGAGAATACGGCCTTTGTGATGAAAATGATGCTGGTGAGCTCATGATAGAATTTCGCAATACCAACGACTTCTTAATTATAAGTAATGATTTTTAAAAACAAAATAAAAGATGACTATTCACGCAGAGTTCACCAGAAGGAATACACAGAAATTAAATTGATTCTATCTGTGAGAAGAGACGGCAGAAAAGTTCTTTATCAGCTAAAACAAGACCAGGGCAGATAGGGGAACAGTTCAGGCCGAAGCTGAGGAAAATCAACACAAGTCCACCAGAGCCAAAATAGGACTTGAACAGACACGTATTAGGTGATTGAAATACCATGGCGTGGGGGCTCTCAACGATATTGTGCTCTTTTACAATTTGAAAATGTTTTTTGCAGCAGATTTGTCCATTGCAGTACGTCATTTGATTTCTTGAAGTCCTGGCGTAGTGCTGATGGATAAGCACTGGACTGTTAACTGCAAGGTTGGCAGTTCAAACCCACTAGCTGCTCCTTGGAAACCCTGTACAAGATCGCTCTGGGTCGGAACCAACTTGATGGTAGCAGTAACAGTTCCTTGATAGTTTGATCTTTCTCTGTTTATCATGATGTTTAGTGGTCAGGTGTGAGGTATTTTTGTTTGAGGTGTAGGTAGTACATACTGAAGGATGTAGTCTTTGGTCTTCAGTAAATTTTTTTTTTAATGTTTTATTGTGAATTATGTGATCGTTTACATGGGAGAACATTAGTTTTACATTCATTGTAGTGTATATCCCTTGAATGTTGTGGTTACAGTCCCCTCCCTTCAGGAAATCTTTAAAGGTCTCTTCACCTCCAGCAAGCAAGGTGGTGGCATCTGAGTAACTCAGGTTGGTAGTGACTCTTCCTCCAA